TTCCTTTTTCATTTGAGTGTGTCCAATGACATTTGGCAAGGCACCTCAACACAAAAGGCAATTGAAAATGCATATCGACAATGTTAAAATAGCAATGAAACCTAATACCACACAAAAGTTCACATATGCATTTCATCGAACACGTTGCACGCGTTTCATTTTTCATGGAAATTTCAAGACCTTGGTTATGAACTAAACCATAATTTTTTGTTTTGTCAATTAAACTCAACCATCACAAACTCCATCATCGACCTATTACCCCCACTCCGTAACCATGCATTCAATCTCATACTCAAAAGCGAAATAAGAAGTTAAATAGGATAAGGGCAAAAAGGGTAGATGTCATACCTTGATTTGGTGATGAAGAAGAATGGAGAGAATTGCACTAGGGAGTGATTTGGTGTGGTGGTTTTGTTGTATAAGGCCGTGTGTGTGTGTGTGTGTGTGTGTGAATGAGTGAGTAAGTGAGTGAAGAATCATGTGAGAATGGTGTGCATTTGTTTGAAAACTTAATGGGTCGGAGGGTGTTCTATGCGACCGCATAGAACAATGTCATGCGGTCGCATAGAACAAGTAGGAAGGGCCAATTTTGGCCCTAAACACTTGCATGCGACCGCACAGGGGATGCAGTCGCATAGACTCCAAGGAGGGATTTTTTGACAGGTTTCAAAAATGAATACATTAGATCATTCAAGACCCCCGAATCCTCGATTTTCGTGCAAAACAAATTTGAATCAGTGTAATGAGTTAGTGCAACATGAAAAATTTTCATACAAACTTGATTATGTGAAAATCGTTTTTAGTCAATTTGCATCAAAATCCCAGTTTGTTATCTACAATGAAACTCAACTGTCTAACAACCCCAAAACTTGTTAAAACGCATTTTAAACTGCAAGGGGGTACGTGAATGCCATGAATGTGGTACTAAAAATATTTTAAACTTGAAAACACATTATGATCCCGAAAAGCTCAAAATGGATTGTGTTGCCTCGAAACGCGAGACTTTTGCACCAAATTAACCAAATTCCATTTCAGCACCCCCAAATTTATGCACAACACATGCAAAATCAATTTGGATCATGGATAGACTCTTAATGATCCCTAGGGACGATGAATAACCGCATATTACACTTCTATGCTATAGCATAGAAAATACATTTTACTCGGAGCATTTCATAGAGTCGAAGCAAGGATAAATTAAAACCATGCTTACCATATAGGCACGAATATAATGTTTCATTAATTAAAGCTTAAATGATTAACAAAATCATGCTTGAAATTAATGCCGCAGGCAATTTAGCTCGAGGTAAAGCAGGAATTTTCAATGCGCAGAGACATGTGCAAGAAAAGAATAAATTGACCACTACAGATCAGTTAGATCACAGATCAGTTAACAAATTTTGCAGATTTGGTTAGCTCAGGCTATTAAATATTCTTTAGAACACCTTAGAGAAATTATAATAGGAAAAGAGAATGCAAAAGGCATTGAAAATAGAGACTATATGCAGAGTACCGATCAAGAACTCTGATAATCAGAATAACCACCTCCACTTTCAATTTGTCATTCATTCATAGATCCCGTCATCTAGAGCATGTTTGGCTAAAATACAAGTTACTTTTAAGTAAATTTTTTAAATTTTTAGTTCAAATTCATTTTTGAATAAAAAATTACAGTCTATACTTATTTTCCAAACTAGTATTTTTTTAACATTTTTCCCCACATTCAAAACATCGTAACAAAATGACTAATTTTTTTATATTTTTTTAATTTTTTACAAAAGTCGAATCTCTCCCTGCTAAAAAAATTAAAATTAATTGACTAACTCAATTAACTTTTCTTTGAATCATTAAAACATGATTCAAATTAATATTTAACATATAATGAAGTGAAGAAATAAAGAATAATTTTAACAAGTCTGTAGACCTGTGCTTCGATCCCATAAATGTAACGTCCAAATTTCAAATTAAATTTGAAGAGTTACATAGCCCTTGTTTGAGCCTCATTTTATGAGAAAATATATTTTGAAATAGTGATTTTTTGGAGAATGTGTGGTTAAAAAATAAGAAAAAGTTATAGATTTACGTTTAAAATTATTTTATGGGAGAATGTGTGGTTAAAAATAAGTTTAGGGGATATTCTCTTCGTGTTTCAATTTTTAGTTTTGAGTTTTGTATTCATTTTGGATTTTGTGTTTTGAGTGTCCATTTTGAGATTATTGAAAACGCGTTCTTTTTGTCATTTTGAAAATTTGTTTTCAAAAATAAAAAAATGACGTTTTTGCTGGTTTTAATTGAAAACAGTCAAAACGACTTTTTGACATTTTCCGTTTTCTTTGTAAATTTTAAACTCGTTTTTTAAAATTCGTTTCTGAAAATAAGTAAATAAAAGTGTTTTCAGTGTTTTCAAAAATTGAAAATTGAAAATGGTCTGAAAATAGTAAAGAGAACAGTCCGTAAGTTTTTTGTAAAAATGGAGGCCAACATAGACATGGTCTATTTTATTCATACATGGCTGGATAATATTGAAATAAATTAAATTCAATACTTAAAATTAAACTTTAAACGAGTTAAACTTAAAATAACATTCTAAGTTTTAAGTCATGCCACTGGAAATAATCTAAAATTGATTAATTACGTGCTCATAAAGTCTAGTTAATTTGACAAGAAAGTGAGAGAAAATAAAGACAACTTAATTGTCATGGTTTTTTTAAAAGAAAAGTCCCTTTGCATATCACTTCATCGTTTCGCCAAACTTCCAAACTCACCTGAACTAACCTAAAATTGGTAATAAAATAGGAATTAATATAAAATACTCGGTAGGACACGTGCACCAAATTGTGATAATATGTTACTAACATAAAACTTTTCTATTTATCATCATTTCATCAAGATCATAAAGTAATCAAATGATAGCTCTAGTTAACATAATTTTGTATAATTCTCTAAAAAGATCCCGAATGAATCTCGCATTTTATTTCATAGAGGACCAGAAGGTAAATTAACATTTCACATAAAGATGTACATAAATAAGATAATACCTTTTTTTTAAAAAAATTTCATGTAGAATAAATTGAACTAATAATGTTAATAATAACATCCCCTTTTCAATTTCATTTTGAATTAATGCTAATAATGTAAAAAGATTTTTATTTATTTATTTTTGTCTCATAAGGAGAATTTAAGCCCATCCTTTGAGTTTCGTAAGCAACATCCGTTTTTCAATTTCATGTTGAATAAATTGAATGTACTTTTTATTTTTTTAATCTCAAAATGGGAATTTAAGGCCATCTTTTGAGTTCTTTAAATAACAAATATTTTTCAATGTTGAATAAATTGAATTAATGATGTTAATAAAATTTATGCAATATTAGAAATTATTGACAAATGAAAAAGAAAAGATATTTTTTTAATTTCGTGTTGAATAAATTGAATTAATGCTATTAATTAATTTTTAATAAAATCAAAAATTAAATAAAGGTATATTGGGCATATCGCTTAATATAAAAGCGTAAAATTGATACTTAATATTTTAGTGCCAACGTGAACATATTAGTGCAACCTTTTAATTTAATCTTGTTTATAAACAAAATGAGGGTATATTTGGCATGTTGCTAAATATGTAAGGGTAAAATTGATATTCAAAACTTTCTTATCAATTCTTCCTTTTAATATATTGTAGACGTAAATGGATAAAGAAGTGTTCAATTCAATTTGATCGAGTTGAATACTCGCCATTGGTTAACAAACTTTAACGATGAAAATAAAAATATTATTATTATATAATTTATGTATGGAATTTTAACTACTTTGCCTACCATACAGTCATTTTAAGATGTTTATATAAAAATCATTTTTTCCACATTCATATTCAAATCACACATTCTTACAAAAATTATTTTCACGTTTTTTCTATAATTTATCTATGCATGAAATAAAAAACACTTTTAAATAAAAATAATAGTATTTAGCATCAGTGATGCTAAATTACCAATTTATATGACATTATGTAATATGTTCAATTAAATGTGAAATTATATAATTCATTTAATTGAACATATAATTTAACGTCATTAATACTGTCACTTGGACTAATGTTAAATACCAAATAGTACTACTCTTGAAATAATTATTCCACACTGGGACTAAAAAGAATGGGTTTTGTTTGGTGTACAGGTAGGGGTTCACCGAACGCACACAAATAGGGGTGGGGTGGGTATTTTTGGGATGGTTTTTAGGGTGTGTTTGTCTTTCATTATTGATAGAAAAATAGAGTAACGGATATTAATTTTTGGAGAATGTGTAGTTGAAATTTAAAGTAACTTTATTGATTTGTGTGTAGAATATTTTTGGGATGGTTTTTAGGGTGATGAATATTACTGTAGCAAATAATTTTTTAAAATAATGAGCTCATGTGTGAGAGGCTCCACTCTACCATGCCTTTTACATGGCAGAGCCGCAGAGGTGCATAATTCAAAAAGAATAACTAGTGAAGTCAAATCCAAGTATCAAATATGCCATAAGTTTCACGCAACCTATTTAACAAATGATAAACCAATTTGAGCAAAATGTCATTCTATGCATTCATACTTCTTTTTGTGATAGTTTCAAATACATAGCTTATTAAGTTTCAAATTTATTTCCATTAGATTACGATTCGATTAACATCTTCTCGTACGTGTCAGCCAATTTTTCTTGAGTGAGCCTGTCTTATTTTCGAAAGTTAACTAGAAAGTAATACAAATTTGCGCTTACACAAAAAAATTGTGCTTCTAAAATGTAAAATTTAACACAGTATCATCTAAATTCAATACAATTTTTCCAAGTTGAAAGAGACAGAAATTTTCCAATGACAAAAAGAATGTTAAATTTTATGACAAAATCATTAATGTTCATCAAACAAAAACAAGATTGAAAGAGAGCAAGTTTAGAAATAAAAGGAAAATAAGTGAAGGATTCAAATGAAACTTAGCTTGAAGTTAGATGACCTATGGTGTAAAAATATGCTACTTTGGTACCTGGTGCGTCAGATTTTTATCAATTTTGAATCTCAAGACTGGGGTGAAAATTTCATAATCGGAATTGGAACCGTCATGGACTCGCAGCAGCAGCAGCAGCAGCAGCAGAGAGAAGCATCTCCGCAGCCATCACCGCCGGCTGCCGGCGGAGGAATAGGCGAAGCCGGTCGCGGTGGCGGAGATTTCACAGCCATTTTCACTATTCTACTGTCATTCATCGCTATTGCCTCCATGGTATGGAAAAAAAACGTATAAATTGCTAGTTGTTGTTACTATTTCCTTGTTTTATTGATTTCTTTTTTATAATCGGGACTTAGGGTTTAATCTTTTTTTTTTTTTTGGAATTTTTCAGTTCCGTATTTTCTGCTGTTGGGGTTTATGTATTATATCGATTCTGAACATTATCTCGGGAATTGAAATTTTGAATTGTTAGAAAAACTGGAGGATGGACTTCTATTATTTGCAGTTCATGAATCTTAATATAGTCCCAACCGAGGTTAATTATCTTGTAAACACGAGGGAACTGAACTCTTGGAGCATATTAGAACTCTGTGTAAAAAGGAATTTGACCATATCATTCGGCCCTGTTTGACACCCATTAATTTCTCTTTCTCATTTTCATTTTCATTCTTCATTTCAACCATACATTCTCCAAATAAAATAATATTACACACAAATCAAAAACTTTTCATCACTTTTTCACACATTCTCACATCAATCACTATTCCAAAATTTCTATTCTCCTCAAAATTAGATTCAAACACACCCTCAATTCCTTGAAAAATCTCCTTGGTGAAACTCGAGTAACTTCATCATATTTGTGGCAGAAATGGGTAGTGATACTTTAGTAACATTATCATATTTGTGGAAGAGATGGGTAGGAACTGTACGAAGAAGCATATTAAAAATTTCTAAAAAGGGACTTGATGTCACGACTGGGACTCAAATCCGGTTTCCTGCAACCAATTTCAGCTGAAACCAGCTGAAATTCAGCAACAACACGCACAAATAACAGAAGTGGGGGAGAGAAAAAATGACGAAAAAGAGAGAGAAGAGGTGAGGAATAAAGTGAATTGTAAATACAACCCACTACTAAATTGAATTTCATAACAAATTTCACACCCCTCTGCCAAGTATACGCAAGCTTATATATGCCCAGCTGAGGAAGAAGCGTGATTTCAACAGGAAAGGGGAAAAAACGTTCTTTTCTAATTATTTCAATTTAATTAAAATCAACATAACAAAACGACATCGTTTTGATTAGTGGCCAAACGACGTCGTCTCAATTCAAATGTTCGTTAATTCGGTTTCTTTCTTCTTCTTCCTTTCCTTCCAGTTATGCTGGCTTTCTTCCTTTACTTCTTCTGCCTTTCTTACCCCAGGTAACCCTTCCATAACAATCCTCCCACTCACTATCTTGTCCCCAAGATCTATCCACAGGGAAATGGCGCTTGACCCAATCTGCATCCTCCCAGGTAGCACTTTCTGGAAATGAGTCTGACCAATGCACAAGCCATTTTTCCGCCACTTGATTTCTTCGTTGCACTGACCGTGTTTGTAAAATGGAAAGAGGGTGATGCTCTAGTTGGTAGGTATCATGCCTTTCAGGAAGTTGTAGAGTTGGTATCACCCTATCCCCAAGTTGTTTCTTCAGTAAGGAGACATGGAATACGGGGTGAATCTTTGATCCCTCTGGCAAAGCCGGTTGATAAGCCACTTCTCCAATCTTTTTAGTAATCTGATACGGGCCAAAATACTTAGCTCCTAGTTTATGATTGGCCCTGCGTTCGACTGACTGTAGTGCGTAAGGGTGCAGCTTAAGAAAAACCCAGTCCCCTTCTTCAAAAAAACCTTTCTGTTCGGTTCCTATCGGCGTAGTGTTTCATTCGAGCCCTGGCTTGGGATAAGTTTTCTCGAAGACAAAACGACATCGTTTTGATTAGTGCCCAAACGACGTCGTCTCAATTCAAATGTTCGTTAATTCGGTTTCTTTCTTCTTCTTCCTTTCCTTCCAGTTATGCTGGCTTTCTTCCTTTACTTCTTCAGCCTTTCTTGCCCCAGGTAACCCTTCCATAACAATCCTTCCACTCACTTTGATCTTGTCCCCAAGATCTATCCACAGGGAAATGGCGCTTGACCCAATCTGCATCCTCCCAGGTAGCACTTTCTGGAAATGAGTCTGACCAATGCACAAGCCATTGTTCCGCCACTTGATTTCTTCGTTGCACTGACCGTGTTTGTAAAATGGAAAGAGGGTGATGCTCTGGTTGGTAGGTATCATGCCTTTCAGGAAGTTGTAGAGTTGGTATCACCCTATCCCAAAGTTGTTTCTTCAGTAAGGAGACATGGAATACAGGGTGAATCTTTGATCCCTCTGGCAAAGCCGGTTGATAAGCCACTTCTCCAATCTTTTTAGTAATCTGATACGGGCCAAAATACTTAGCTCCTAGTTTATGATTGGCCCTGCGTTCGACTGATTGTTGTGCGTAAGGGTGCAGCTTAAGAAAAACCCAGTCCCCTTCTTCAAAAAAACCTTTATGTTCGGTTCCTATCGGCGTAGTATTTCATTCGAGCCTACCGAACCCTATTCAAAAGAGCTTCCAGATGATCCAGTTTGTATCTTTCTTGGAGTAAGTCATCTACTGCAGCCACATTAGATTGTTGATAAGGACCCAACGCCAGTTGAGGGGCTTTCATTCCATACAAGGCTTCAAATGGAGACATTCGAATGGCAGTGTGGTAGGTGGTATTGTACCACCATTCAGCTAGAGCTAACCATTTTCCCCAAAGCTTAGGGCGGTGAAAAACTGAGCATTGCAGATACATTTCCAAGCATTGGTTGACCCTCTCCGTTTACCCATCCGTTTGAGGATGGTAGGCAGAGCTGAAGTGAAGCTTAGTGCCAAGAAGATGGAAAAGTTCCTGCCAAAACTTGCTGGTAAAGACCTTGTCTCTATCAGATATTATGCTTTGGGGCATCCCATGTAGTTTGTAGATATTGTCTAGGAAAAGTTGAGCCACTGTCGAAGCTGAGAAAGGATGAGTCATTGCCAGAAAATGCCCATATTTCTTGAATCGATCAACCACTACTAGAATGGTATTTTTCCCTCCTGAGTTGGGTAATCCTTCGATGAAGTCCATGCATATATGGCTCCATGAGTGCAAGGGTTGGGGTAATGGTTGCAACAGTCCTGGGTAGGGAACGTGTTCTCCTTTGCACCTCTGGCAAACTTCACATTGCACCACTAGTTGCTTGATTTCTTGATTCATTTTCGGCCGGAAAAAAAGTTGCTTTGCTCGATAGAGGCTATTATGTATACCAGAGTGGCCTCCCTCTGGGGAGCCATGTAGATTTTGGATTAACCGAGACCTGATGTCTCCTCGAGTCCCAATATATATTTTCCCTTTGTGCTTCGGTAATCCATTCTCAAAGCTGAAGTCAGTGGCAGACTTGGGGTCTAACATCAACGATTGGATTTTTTCTTCAGCTTCAGTATCCCCTTTATAACTTTCAATGACTTCCTCAATCCAAGCAAGAGTAACCGCTGAAATTCCTGAACATTCAGGACTGCTTTCATGTCTCCTTGAGAGAGCATCTGCTACTACATTATCCATCTCCCTTTTGTAGATAATATCATAACTGAGACCAAGGAGTTTAGTGAGCCATTTCTGCTGGAGTGGGGTAGTAATTCTTTGTTCAAGCAAATATTTGAGGGCTTGGTGATCAGTTTTTACCACAAAATGGTGGCCCTCCAAGTATTGTCTCCATTTACGAACTGCAGTTACTAGTGCTAGCAATTCCTTCTCATAAATAGATAGCCCCAGGTTCCTAATCCCAATGGCTTTGCTTAGGTAAGCCAAGGGTCGTCTTCCTTGCATCAACACTGCACCTATGCCTCCCTGACAAGCATCGGTTTCTATTATAAAGGGCTGTTTGAAATAAGGTAAAGCTAGTACTGGGGTGGAACTCATTGCCTCTTTTAATGCAACAAAGGCAATGTCCATTGCTTCTGACCAGTGGAAGTTGTCCTTCTCCAGTAGATCAGTGAGAGGTTTGGCTATGATCCCATAGCCCCTCACAAACTTCCTGTAATAGCCTATGAGTCCCAGAAACCCTCTTAATTGTTTGAGGTTAGTTGGCTTGGGCCATTGTCTCATTGCCTCAACCTTGATAGGATTTGCTGACACTCCCTTGTGGTTGATTATATGGCCCAAATACTCCACCTGTGTCTGTCCAAAACTCCACTTAGACCGTTTTGCATACAATTGATGGTTTTGTAATATCTCCAGCACTGATTTGAGATGGTGGCAGTGGGAGGTTATGTCTTTACTGTAAACCAGGATGTCATCAAAAAATACCAACACATAGTCACTCAACTGGTCCTTGAACACTTCATTCATGAGACTCTGGAAGGTGGCAGGGGCATTTGTGAGGCCGAAGGGCATTACCTTGAACTCATAAAGGCTCTGGTGAGTTTTGAAGGCAGTTTTAGGAATGTCAGCCTCTGTAACTCTGATTTGGTGGTACCCTGCCCTGTGGTCTATTTTAGAATAGAACCTTGACCCATTCAATTCATCCAAAAGTTCATCAATCAGAGGCATGGGAAATTTATCTTTGACAGTGAGGTTGTTCAGTTGCCTGTAATCTACGCAGAAACGCCATGACCCATCCTTCTTCTTAACTAAAAGGACTGGGGATGCAAAAGGGCTGTTGCTATGCTTGATTATGCCACTGTCCAACATTTCCTTAACCAGCTTTTCAATTTCTGATTTCTGTATGAAGGGGCATCTGTAAGGCCGGATTTTAAAAGGCTGAGCACCCTCTTTTAATGGGATATGGTGATCATGGGTCCTAGGAGGTGGAAGCCCTTTTGGTTCGTCAAAGACTCCAGAAAATTGATTGACAACTCCCATGACCTGGCTTGGAATTTCCTCTTCTTCCTTCTCAGTGATAGAATACAATTGCCCTGCTACCCCATAGTGTTGCCCCTTGAATAAACTTTGCATTTCTTCCACCTCCATCATCCTAACATGAGGCTCTGTGTTTTCACTCCTCAGTGTGATTTCCTCCTGCTGGTGCTTGAATTGAACAAATCCTTGCCCGAAGTCGAATAGGATAGGCCCAAATTGACTCATCCAATTAACCTCTAGCACCATATCACTGCCTCCAAGCTTCAAGGTCCCCATCCTATATTGGAACTCCCAGTGGTGCACTTTCCAGACCAGTGGATGAA